CCTAGAAGGAGGTATGAAGATCTATCATAGTAATTCACAGCATATATTGCATTTAAAAGGCCTACGTGTAGTCAGTATGTGAAGGCATTTATTTCTAAGACATGAAGTTGAATTAGATAGTCATATGCAGTGCATACATCTCCTGGGCTGTAGACCATGGAAAGTGGTATAAATGAAACACTGTAGAGAGGACATGGAAATAAGACATTTCCCTGGAATCAGAGTCATTGCAGCGTGGAGCACAGATGTGGTGAGTCCTGGCTGTGATGCCAGATGTCTTTGTAAAGTCCTGTGCTGTATGTTTTTTAGGAGAAGGCTCCAAGGAGCAGTCTCACCCAAAATAAACTATGAGAAGGACTCTAGCCTAGATCTGCTGTCTAGAAGTGGTAACAGCCAGCCTGTGAAATTAGGAAGCTGGCAATAGTAATTATTTCCTTGGAAGACAAGGGATTTTGAAGGGTATTATACTCCAGTACATACTCATTCTGAACACTGAGGCAGATTTCAGTGTCTACTTGGTTAATTATACATAGTTTCAGAAGGTATGGACATTCCATTTTCTGGAATTTATATTTTTTCTGTCAAGTGTTAATGGATGTTGGAGGAAAAATATTTTAATCAAATTGCTGTATAAAAAACTAAGTCAACAAGCAGACTTTTCTAAGACTGGGAGTGCTGCAGGATACCTCTAATTACCAGGTCATTGACAACCAGTGACCAAGCAAGAGAGTTTATGTTCATTTGTTTCTGGAGTTCACCTGTGCTTTCTTCACAGCATCTACGAATGGTAAAAATATTAGACTTCACCATAAAAGGAAGGTAAATATAAAGCACAGTTAATCCATCAGTTAAGAGAAACCCTGAGCACTGTATGCATCCTGCTGAATCCCACTTTCAGGCAAATGATGCAGAATGGCTGGGAAATAGTAGGACAGTAAAAAAAAAAAAAGTTGCACAGCTTTCAGATGGCCATAGCAGTGATGAGCGATTCCCTGGTCCATGTGAGCCTGAGGCTGCACTCACTCCTAGCATCACAACTCCAGTAGCTTGTTTTTTTCCCTGAGTATTCCTCTCGCAAAACCTTTCTGCAGAGGCGTGTGCCAGCAATACCATCTGGTGGCTAAACCTAGCACTGTCTGGAGGAGTGGGCAAAGGCAGCTGGTCTGACAGCCCCCATGGTGGCTGCTTTTCGGCCCCTTACCCTCCTGCCCTAGGAGGGCTCCTGTGCTGGGGAGCTGCTCTGGCAGGGGAAAGGCAGCAAATCCCTACCCCAGCCTCCCGAGACAGGAATGTATTCAGATACGCCTATCCCCACATATCTCTCAATGTTCAGGCTTTAATTTCTGGTTTGTAGGAGTTGGGAGCTTGGGGACTTTTAATCATCACACTTAACAGGAAAGAAATGCCTTGCCACTTCTCTGCTCAGCTGCCCAGGCATACAGAAGACCAGACACAAACTCCAGACTGTGCACGGGGATCAGGCACAATCCCTTTTCTATTCCTCAGGAAAAGAAGAGCTCTCTGTGCTATGCCCTTTGCTGGAGCTTTGCACGTAGCAGGCCCACTTTAATCCAGGATAAGTGTGCAAAACAATTAAGATCATTTTTACAGAATGAGATAACTGAAAGGAGAGAGCATGTACAAAACCCCTTCATGAACTGAGCTGAGGGTGTTTTCACTAGGTATTTCTTTTGGATTAAGCTGTCTGGTTATATGAGCCAGGAACAGAGAAGTATCTGAAAAACACTACAGGGCATGCAAGGAAAGCAGCTGGGAAAAATTAGACAGTTGCAGCTATTTTTTCTTTTTTTGAGGGGGGGAGGGGGTGATACTTTCTTTACAAATGGAATCACAACATTTTGGTCACCCAGCTTCTGTCCAAGGAGTGGCTAAAGAGGCTGGGAGTCTTTGGCATGGGAAAAAAAAGAGGCTATGAGGGAAGGATGAGATAGAGGACTATCAAGGGAGTACCAAGGAGACAGTAAGAAACAATTGTTCATTTGCCCAGACAAAATTGGCTGGAAATTCTTGCGGAACAAATGGAGAGAATTAGCCATATACAAAATACGTGGTGGAGCTATTGATCTCCTCTTTATAGGACGCTGTGGATGCTGAGAATTTTCATGGCTACCAAGACATCCAGGCCCTGTAGGGCACCACCAATACTTACAGCCCCATGGCAGCCCGCTGGGGCACCCCCCCACCCTGCCCCTGGCCCAGGACCCCATTTCATCCCCCCAGTGTTGCCAGTCCCTGACCCAGGGGTGCCCTAATCCAAATGACCAGCTTTGTCCTCTTACATACTGAGGCACTATCAGGAAGAAGCTATTATTATTATTCAAGTCAGACAGTCTTGCTAGATAAATTGTGGGAGAGAGAGGCTTAGATTCACCAAAAATGAGGAGGATCTACCTCCAAAGTGCCATGGATAGCAAAGATAGAGATTGAATCTATTTCATTCCAGGAGGGGATTTGAGTTTGCTTTCATCACCTCTAAAGAATATGTCCCAATAGCTCAACCAGGGGATAATATTTTTCATGTGTTTTGTTCTGTTCCTGCAAGAAAAATGACCAATTTGCTTGATTTGGATTGAACTGTTTGGTTTTTTTTGGTTTTTTTTTTTTTATTTTCTAGCCTCAGAAAAAATAAAAGTAATTATAGCCTGAAAGAGAGACAAAGCTACTTCTTAACCTCTGCTCTATGAGGAAAAGGTTTTGGGTAGGGTGTCTGGCTGACTAGAAAAATGACTGGGAGTTGTGAGCAAAGCCGTCCTCCTCCAGCGGTCAGTGCACAATGAGAGTAAACTGGTTTGCCAAGGGCCTGAAGAGTGCTTCACCTTTTCTATGGGACAAATTAATAGACTTAACTCCAAGTAAGACAGTAAATGCTCGCACATTGTGCTTACCGGGGTCTGAATAAGCTGAGGAGCAGACATACATTTTTCACCTATTCTGAACCTGTGAATACGAATGGAGTTATTTCAGAAGGGGATGTCTATAGATCTCAGTGAAGAGACTTGAAAAGGTGGAGGTACCACCTACCAGCTTATACCAAAACCTATATATAAACAGTTGGAAAGGACAAAGAATTTGTCAGCCTCATCCCTCATGTTCGTCAGAAGGGTGCAAAAGGGGAGTTGTGTTTAGGTGTGATGCACCTTTGGGGAGGACTGGGGAGAGCAAAGCAGCTGCTGGGAGCTTCACTCCACGCAGAAGCTCGCAACACCAACAGTTCCTGTTTTGGGATAATTACTTAATCAAAGACAAAACCAACACAATTCCCATTCCCAAAAATAAGTTAATAAAAATTGCAGTTTCAGTGACAAGACAACCCTATATTTGTCATATTCATAACATCTTTCAGTGTCTATATGAACCTTCAGGATTCAGAGTCAGAGTGCTTTCATGAGACAAAGAGCTGCTTTAACTGCTACTGCTGTATTTTTCAGACCATAGAAAGAAAAGCTCTAGGGATTTCATAAACCTCAGACTCGGCAGAGACTCTAGTTTAATTTGTGAAGTGAGACAGCTGACAGATTACAAACTTCATTTTATTTCACAGGCACTAAAGCCATAAATCTAGCCCTGTGTCTCTTGAATCAGTGATGATTAATGAGTTTCAAGCCCTTTAAGAATGCAAAGGGAGGTAGTTCAGAAAGGAAGTGTTTCACCTGGCATAGAAAAGAAATAAGACTTTGTTGCACGGTGACTCACCCAGGTATTGTCCAGGTGTGCTACCCAAGCACTCGGGTAGGGCTGGAATAAGGGTTACCATGTTGAAGGGGGATGTAAGAATTTGAAACATTTCTCTTCCCAGTGATAGTTCACTGCTGTCATTTCAAATAAACGTGGATTCCCCAGGGCATCCTAGAGAGCACTTTTGCATCAAATGCCGCCTGTGTGCTTGAAAGTGAGTATCCCTTGGAGCAGTGAGCTGAGCAGTGTATCAAGGAATGACAAATAATTGTTCTATATGCAGAGAAATAACTTCCAGGATTTTTTATCCAAAGCCAGCAGGGTACAGGCTGGGACTGCAGGGCAAGGCAGTCTCCATTTTGACAGATACAGTGCATGTGTTAAGCAAGAAAAAGTGGCTTCAGGAGTATCAAGTCCTGGACCTGTGGATCTCAAGAAAATGAGTCTGAGGAGAATTGAGTATATCCCAATTTAGAGATACAAGCACTCTCTTTTCTCTCTTCTAGCACCACTAATCTGCTATTTCGCAGCTGGTCTGTCCCATTTTGCTAAGGTAATAAAGTAAAATTTATTTCCTTATTAGTCATCTTGAAATGAATTCATGTCAGTGCAGAGGCAAGAGGACATTCTCTGCATACATTCCAAAGCTGTATATTACATTTACTAGATTAAGATGTCTGCAGTTTCCAGTTAAGAGAAAAAAAGTGAAATGGTGAGAAATGGGCAGGGCAGCTGTGGTCCTTTGTACATGACTGCAGAATGAAGAACTGAGTCCTGGACCATGGCTGATCCCACCTAGAAACTACTGCACAGACAAAATAACTGCAACAATTTGTTGCATCGGACATGTTTCAATAAATAAAGAAATAATTTTATTGCTTGAATCAGTTGTCTTCTTTTGTTGAGGTGCTGGTTGTTCAGTCCCACAGTTTTCATAAACAGACCTGTGTCTAGCAGAAACAACATCTTGGGAAGCAATTTGCTGGCATCGCCTTCTCTCTTTCAGCTGGTCTCTGTGGGCAGAAGCTTCCAGATATGCATCTAATGGAGAGGGAATTACTGCCCTCCCACACCTCTCCAGCCCCACCATGGACCCACTGCGTGCTGGCAGACACCCCTTGGACTTCTGACCGTACAGGGATCTCCACACGCTCACTCCCAGTAAAGGGTTCTTGTTGTGGTGTAGGCACACACAAGGGTACCCAGATCATTACACGTGCCTCTTGCTGAAGAGACAGGAGAAACAAACTGATGTAAATCAGGAAAAATAAAAACAAAAACAAAAAAACAACAGAAAAACAAACTAAAGACCATGACCATTTTACTTTACATCTTTTCCTACTTTGTGAAATCGATGGCTCTGTTTCACTAACCCTCAAGTGAGCAGAAAAAGAATTGCAAGAGTCTAACTCTACCTTAAATCATCAACAAAAGACAAGATTTGCACAGTATTTGAATTTTAGTCTTATCTTTACTATAGGACTATTTGAAGGAATTATTCTGTACACTCTCTGTCTGTAGACAGGATTGCAAACAATTAGAGTTCAGTTCGAAATTCCATAGTTATCAGACAATCCATGAAATTAGTTCTATTATTTTAAAAATGACTGAAAATCAAAAAGAGTATAAACTATTTACTTTTGAGCAAATAGTCTGTACAATTGTAATTTGACTACCATTAGACTGCTAACAAAATCATAGTAAAGAATCTGGTAAAATATATTCCTGACAATCTTTCAATCCTGCATTACATTTGGAATGGTTTTAAATATAGAAAAAGATCCAAACCTCACCTATAATAAGCTTATTCAGTTTGCATCTTGGACAACTTTTACAATTTATAACTGGATAAGTGTTGATGTATAAAGCTGCAATTCACTGGTATTGATCACAATTTATATTAAAATAAATAAGCAAACATACTGAGATGATAGAAGCTGAGCATACAAAATTCATCATAATTACACTTGATCAGAGATTTGAGTAAACAGTCACACTACAGAATTTCCAGAAGAAAAGCTATCTAGAAGCAACACTATCACCACCTTCTCAGAGCAATTTTCTCCTGGTATTAGCATTACTGCTATAAATCCATTGGTTGAAGTTACAGCATAAGATGCTTAAAGGTAAATGATAAAATGAGTACATAAAAAAGAGGTTCTTCGTCATCTAAAATATAATAAACTGGATCTTCAGCTTTAAAATCTGTCACCAAAGCAGGGATTCTTCACACTTTAATCTTCAAAAGTTAAGCACTAAGTTCATTGTCTGTTCCCTGCCTGTTCCATGCAGATTCAGACTAAGGAAGATACTGATTTTAGAATGATTCACTTTTCCCATCCAAGATGCCTGCTTTTATTCATCCTATGAAGACAGCTGTTTATTTTCCTTCCCCAGCAGGAAGGAAAGAACATAGAAGGCTATCTTAAACCAACCAGTGAATTTTCACATGGCTCAAATTATGTGTGATGAATTGAGTCAGATAAGTGAAGGTTTCTAGGCCTCTCTATCACAAGGGGAGTTACGGACCTAACTGTGTTTGTCATTTTGTCCTGTTAGGGTACACCTCAGTGTCCCACAAAACCAACAGAACAGCTCTTGCCGTGTTTGGTCAGCACAAAAAAATCAAACCATCATACTGGATACCTATAGCCAGCAGTTATGCTGTCGAGCCACGGATCTGAATTGTAATTTACATCAAATATGAGCATCCAGGTAGCATTTGGTCCATCCTCTTTAACTTCTCTTGTGCGAAAGGAAGGCTTGCACCACACACACCGGCACACTAGTAAAAATCAAAATAAGTCAGTGTATTTGAAGGCTGCCAGCCTCTCCACTTACAAGATGAGGACTCTGTATACCTCACTGCTGGCGTTAACGATGTCGTCACGGTTTTTGCACACCAAGCCCACTCTTGCAGGAGTCTCCACAGCAAAAGGAAAAAGAAAACGGTCCCCAAGAGCGCCGAAGTGCTTGGCCTGCCCCTTCAATGCAGGGGTGATGTGGTGGTAGCCCCTCAGGGGAGGCGGTGGGTGCGCTGCTGCTCCCAGGTGATGCAGATGCACCACTGTTTAGAGCTGGAGAGGGAGCAGGGCAGCAGGCAGGAGAGCCGGAGCTTCAGCATCCGCGCTCCCACATGTACCAGGCAGCTGGTATTCCCAGGGGAGCACCCGGGAGAGCACAGAGCGGTTGTAACCACACTTTGGATTGTGGCAGCAGGACTTCTTTCTGGGAGGGAAAGAAAAACACGCAGTGTTAAAGTTTAGCTGGAGGAAATATTTGTTCTTATGACCTCAGTGGAATACAAACCACGTATGTCATGTTTGTTTGAGAGACGCATACACTGAGCCAGCAGCTCAGCAACCAAGTGAGGGACAGAAATTATCCATTATCTTTTTAATTTGGAATGGACTTTAGTTTCAGTGGTTTTATTGTTTGTTTTATAACCACATATTAGAGGTGTTATTATTACCACTCCCATGAAAAATACTATGAATGAGGTAGCGCCTCTCCAAGAAAAAAAAATTATCTCAGTCTTAAAATGATCTCTTTTCTTGGGTGGGAAAGGGGATAGAAGTTGTTGTTTTTCTGATGCATGCTGAGAAATGCTTAGGAAATATCACCTAATTTTCTGTGCAGACAGGGGTAGCACTCAATGCCTGCAGCTGATAGCCTGTTAGACTTTGTTCTTGAAAAATAATATGCTACATGGAGAAAATATGTAGTTCTGAAGTGTGGCTCCCATATGTTTCAAAGCATCGGGAATAAGTGATTTTAATTGATTAAAAACTTTTCCCCCACTATGACTGCACTGTAGGGAGCTGTCATCAGCAGTGACCTACTTGCTGTCATGGCAGAAATGTGTGTTTCAGATGCTGGCCTAAATGCAGATGATTGTTGGTTGGTGCTCATCTATCCACTAGTGTTATATACTTAGAAAATAAATAACTTCTGCCAGAGGACCTCGCTTGTTCTGCAAGTAGATTCAGTTGGGTTCCCTTCCCTTGACCATACAGTGGTGTGGGTACCGTCCTCACAGATGACAGGCACGTGAGCGCTGCTTACAGAAAAAGAGTAGCTATCTTTGGTATCCTTAATATATACGTGAAGTGCAATTAGTGCTGGGATGGGATATGTGTTTTCTTTGTAAGGGGCTGCCAACCATGAGCCCTCTGAAACTCTGCCACAGAATAAAGGGATCTATTTTAAAACGCTATGCTCATTTTCTACGCTTTCTAGGGCGCTCCAAGTTACGTTTCCGAGCTTGACCATGGAACCATGCAGAATTGTTCCTTTCCAGATGACGGATTTGCTGGAGGCAGTGGCAGTGAGGACTGAGCAAGATGGTCAGTCCTGTGCTCCTTGGACCCAGGACTTTACTAGAGACCAACAACTATCATAAATTAACATTGCAGGCATTGGTAACACTATTGATGAGAAAAGTCTTTTCTCAACAAACCTTGCTGTGTTAAAGGCACCGTTTTGAACATGAAAGGCTTAAACGTGGAGAAGGAAATGTTTCAGCTCATCTGGGAGGAGAAGTCCAGTTATTTTTTGATGCTGCTTGTGTCCAAAGCACCTCCTGATGCACAGGCGGCACAACTGCATCAAGGACAGCGGCCCTGGAGAAAGAGCCAGGGAAGAGGTTACACGTGTGGCTTTATTGCCCCAAAATTGTAAAGCTGAAACAGCAGCTCTGCAGCACCACCTCCTGCAACCCACCTTGTGCCAGGGGTAAATGGCTCCCAGAACACTCAGCAGTGAAAAACCAGACCTGCACCCACAAAAGAACATCAGCCTGCCTAGACACTATGTCATTACACAGCCACAATTAGCATTAACAGCGTCAGTCTTTCCCTGTTAAGCTGCACAAGTGTGAAGTGGTTTGTGTTGTCTGAGAAGAAGAGGTGATCGACGCTTCCTTCAAAATCCTTCCCCCTCCCGACTCCCGCAGTGAGATCCAAGTTTGCAGCCCACTGCTTTATTGAGACTTATTTCATAACAAACACATAGCAGAAGAAATATTATATAAACCTTGATTTAGACCTTCCAGATTAACTGCTCCCATGCTGATAAATACAAGTCCTGCAGAAGAATCTGTGGTGATTTTTTAAAAATCTAAGTATAATGGCATTACATGCTTATTTGGGTCACCTAGCCTTTTCAGGAAGAGGTAGATCCTGTGTGATGTTTTAACTGCAGCACCTCTAAATGTTCAGACTCGTTGTGAGCGAGTGAGCACAGATGGGGGGGGGGGGGGGGGTGTTGGGTGCGGGGAGCTGGGAGGGGGTAAGAAGATGCTGTGGAAATCTAGAGGGAGGTAAGTGAGCTGGGAGGGGACAGTTTAAGTGCCACCAGCCATGCCTGCCTGCCAGGCGGGTGAGATGGCAATCACCAGAGAGCTGAAATGTTAGTGCTGCTGGAGGAGCGCAGTGCAGGGAAAAGGAACGGGGTCTGCAGCAAAAATGCGATGAGGTGGCAGCTTTCATAAGCTTTTGAGAATTCCCTCATGCAGGACATCGCATTTTCAGCAGCTCTGCAAGGCTGAAAACTGCTGCACTATTGGAAGGGCTGTGCAAAGGGCTGCACCCTCCTGCTAGGAGTCAGCAGACAAGTTAGTTACCCTATGTTTGGCTACACAACAAGGCAAGCCGATATGGGGCAAGTTAAACTGGCTATTGCCACATGTGTTTGGCCATTCTGATCCCACAGATAGATGCCCTGCCTGTAAACATCTCATTTAAAAAGCTTCCATCAAAACAAAATAAAATGAACCCCAAACCCTGAAAAACTTATCAAAACACAAGCAGTGTCACTACACTCCAACATATTTAGCAAATGTAGTAAGCATGTTCTTCAAAAACACAGTGCATTTTTTGGATCATTGGCCAATTCTCCCACCCACACGTAGGACTCTCCCTGCGCTGCCAGCAGGGTATGCGGTGGTCCGGCAGCATGGCAAGGTCCTGGGAAGGGAGACCACCACACGTTCTACACCCGATCCGGGCTAATCCTAGGGCGACTGGGTCAGCACTCTCACCAACTCCTCTCTGGTGGCAAAAGACAAACCCTCCAGCATGCCCTGGCCATGGGCATGGGGCTGCTGCCCCCCACCATCTGCGGCATGGGGAGAGGAGCCCCGAATGGGAGTGGGGCAGGAGAGCAGCAGCTCAGCCGTGATGGTGCTGAGGGGCCGTGGGGCTGGGGATGCGACTGATCCCCACTGCACAATTCCAAACCTCTGTGCGAAACCAGAGGGGTTATGTTTGCACGGGCTGCAACCATTCAGCTGGCCAAAGAAGTTAGGCATGAGCCGTCCATCAGGCATGACCTTACTCACAGAAGGGCATGTTGGAGAACATCAGAAAAACACTGTTCAGCAGCAAAATGCCCTTCAGGCATTTATCATTTCTGATTTTGATTGCTGAATTTCACTTAGAAAAGTTCGTTGCTGCCTGAGCTGTCAGCTCAGCCCAAGCAGCATTTCTTGGGCCAGTTCCGCAGGGTGTGCCTGAAATACTTTTCTATCTCAAATAAACAGGACACACATGGTGCCACGGGAGTCAGGAGTCTAGCACAGCAAGGATGGAGCTCAAAAAGGTCACCACTCTGTGCACCATAGATTAGGCTGGGAAACCAAATATCAGCTGATCATACATAACATGCACAGGACAGTTGTTTTCATGATATTATTTTTATGTTACTATTTCAAGCAGGGCCTGATTCATCACTTTGTTATTCCAATTTTACCTTGATGCAAATTTTTTCATGACAACAATCTCATCAACATGTAACTGGCATAATAGAGTCATGGACCACATCATCAGCAACTTGTTTAAACTAAAGAAAATCCGGATTATTTAGTAATGTGTACAGTTTACTGACTGAATGGGAACATCTAAAGAAGAACACAAGTACACTAATGAATAGACACTAAAGACCTTATTCTAATTTTCCTCAAGAATGGTAAGTGAAATTTCTCTCCATCATTCATTAAACTATTCATAATCAATAAAATAAAACCATCTGGAACTATTTCAGTTACGGGTACAAAATAAACACTTCCTAAGGGTTAAGCTTACAATTTGATACTGCTGGATTATTCAGCATATAATGTTGGCCTTTAAAAAGAGCCTAGTGTATAAATGTATATATATATTTACATACATATTCATTATATCATTCTTATGCAATCTTCCCTAATCCTCACAAAAAACCTAATATAAAGTCTCATTTTAATGATACTTTTGCACCTACATAAGGACTTGGACCAGTAATAAAAGTAAAGGGCAAAGAGCTAGAAGATCAATCTTCCAATATGGTTTGGGTTTTTTTTTTTTCAGTATCAAATGCATTAAAAATTTCCTGGATGTAATTTTGCATTTATGCTGAGACCAGTATCTGGCACACATCTGACTATCAGCATACTATATAATCAAAAATCCCAGTCCTGGCGCTCACTAGCTAACCTCAAATCCCATCAGAGACTATTTGCTGCCTGCATTTTTTGGCACGCTCCAGATAACCCTCCTCGGTCTACTCCCGTCTCAGACACAAGGGAACTGAGAGACTCCCACAGACTTCAGTGTTTTAGGTAATCAGAAAAAGCTGCTGTTAATTTCTAAGGAGAGCTTTGCTTGTTTTTAAACCTAAACTCTATTTTGCATTATATTGCAAGTTCCATACAATTTCTCCCCAATGCATTAGATTCACAACCTGGAAGTCAAAAGTTGAGTGACTGTTGTTACTGTTATCGCTGCTAGTGCACCACTATATTCTGACATGAGAAAACATCGCATCCATATAACAGTGAATGGAGGTAAACTTAGTTATTCTCAGTTTTATAGTTCTAGTAGCGTGCAATAGCATAGCCTTTTGCAGCAGTTTGCTTGTTTTATCCCTAACGAATCCCGAGTGAACGAATAAAACAAATGCTAAGGGGCACCTTCTTTCTGCAGGAACAGTCGGCCCACAGGACTGCCAGGTGGGACCAGCTCCATCGGCCTCTTGCTTTCGTCATTCTTCACCCAAATGTCCGCTCCAAAGTCAATCAGCAGTGTCACCAGCTCCACACTGCCATTTCTGGCAGCTGCGTGCAGAGGGGAGTCCAGGCCCTTGCCACTGTTCACATTTGCTCCTGAACACCAAGAGATGACAAAGAACAATGACTACACAGTGGTCTATTTCCATTTCCTGCACTAGCTGCTATTTCTCTGAATAATCCATAAATGCTATGGCATCCACCCAGAGGTGGCTTTCCTTATGCTGGGGCTTGGTACTACAATTTGCACATGTACAACTCACACTGGTAGTCGAGGAGAGGGGTTGTGAATAAGAAAATGATCCCAGAGGAACAGTGTATGAGGAAGTCCTTCATCCACAGCCCAGCCCACAGATATCTTGAAGCAGAACAAAGATGTAGTTCCACCTACAGCCCACCTTTGCTCCCTATTCCAGTGCCCCTGTCAGGTCCCGGTCTCACAGCCCCATTTCCTTAAAATACAGGCAAGGTTTCAACCTGCTCTGTACCAGAGGCTTAAGCTGATGCGATTTCCAAATGCCAAAGTATCTCTTGGGAAAAAAAAATGTGAGGATGGAAAAGTTCTAGAGGCCCTTGGTAGAGGAGGGTATAAGCAAGCACCCCTGATGAGTGCTCCCCCATCTGTAATCTTGGGCTAATGGCTCCTAAAAGGAGCTGCAGAAGGTGAAGGGTGAGCTGCAGAATTAATTCAAAACTATTTATAATGTTTTTATAGTACACATTCTCAAATACAGAAGACAACAAAAACACAACAGCAGAAAACAAAATAATAGCCAAATATTAAATACTTAGATTAATTTGTATTTGTCTTCTTCCAAATAAAGATCACTATGCTAAATAGTGACCTACCTAAAAGGTGATTTACATGATGTTTTCTTGTTTTTTCCAAAGGGGCTTTGTTGGCTACTTTAGGTTATACGACCCTTTTGGTTAGAAGAGTTGTACTACTGCAGATAACAAGAAATGGTCTTGTATGATTATCCAAGTGTTTAGACTTATAGCTAGGTTTGTTTGATGCAGAAACACTACAGCATCACACACACAGACATTGGAAAGGATGGTATTTGTTCCAGGAACCACCAGCCATGTGAAATCCAGGATCACCCATCATTTTGCTGAGAGCTGTAAAGTTGAGTTCCTGGGTCAAGAAGTTACCCTGCTTCCCCATTTAACCTGCTACCCCATTTAACCCAGGACTGCCGCTAAGAGTGAAACATCTCCAGGTCCCAGAGCAGGAGCTCCTCTAAATCTTTGATGCAAACAAATCCAAAGATAGATGTTGCAGGAAAAGAAAGTACACCATCCTTTATTTTTCTTTTTACCTGACTCAAGCAGCTTCTTGGCACAGTTCACTTGCAGGTTCTCACAAGCTGCATAAAGGGGAGTACCCAGATGCTTGATGTTGTGATCTATATTTGCCCCATGGGATGCGAGAAATTCGACACATTGCACATGACCTTAAAAGGGATAAAGGAAGAGTCAACTGACAGAGATCAGGTGTTTTTTCAGCAAATTCTCTACTGCAGTGGTGTAATTTGGCAACGATTCAATGTTTTGTCAAGGGATGGTAGAGTAATACTTTCATCCATTCCAGTGTTTCCAACCTGGAAAGCAGGAGCTGAAAAGCCACAGTTAGCAAAACAGGCTAAAGCCCTTGCATTTTATCTGACTCATTTCAGATGTCTACCGAAGATGCGATGAATCACGTTGTGTTTCTCTCCACTGCTATTCAAGGTAGCCAGATCTGACTCCCGCAGATGTCCACACTGTAGGTGGCTGACTTGGACAACGCATCCCCTTCCAGGTGTCACCACATGAACTCAGAGGCCCCGAGAGCCAAGCTGAGCTGCCCTCAGTGAGCACCAGGGGTGGGAGGAACTGCACCACTCGTGATGAGACCACCTAGGAAGGTATTTCACATGACCCAAATCAAGAAAATTATCTTCTTCATCTCTCTCTTCCACTTCAACACGCTGCTAGTAACAGGGAGCGGAGTGCAGATGCCTGTGAGGTTACCTCTCTTAGCAGCTTCATGGATGGGGGATGCCAAGTCACAGGGTGGCTGTAGGCTGGCTCCATGCTGCAGCAATAAATTCAAGCAAGCCACACTGCCACTGACACAAGCGCTGAACAATGGAGTGTGCCAGTCGACAGTAACTCCATTCACCTGGGGGGAAAATAGCACAATCAGGCGCTTTTTTTTTTTTTTTTTTGTCTTCTCAGTATTTCAAGATTGATGAAAATTATCAAGTTTCTCGGCAGAAAATAGGGTTCGCAACACTTTTTATTCAATTTCTTGCAAGAACTGCCTACTGCTTCTGAAGATTACATTTTTTTTTTATTAAAAAGATCATTAAAAAAGGTTTTTTAAAATTTTTCCCCCAAGCCTCTCCTCTTGCAAAAGAATGTTTAACCAGTGCCACTCCAGGGGCTCTCGGGAGTTACCAAGTTACCAAGTTAGATGCATGCTCATTTCTCAGTTATCTCTGCTGAAACACACCTGCCTGTAGCCCTCTCATGAAACTGCTCATTTTTAGCTGAAAGTGTGCAGCCTTTTTTAAAAAAAAAATTTAAAATGAAAGGTTGAAAGGTAATAGATGTATAATGAGTTAATTTTCTTATTCACTATGATTTCGACATCTTGAAAAGCAGAGATCATGAGACACACCCATTTCACCATGTTACTTGTGCATTGTGTCCATTTTCTTCCCATTTCATTGTCAGTTGATCCTAAAAGTCCTACACATCTGCTTAAGACTCTGCATATTGACACCAGTAAGATTAGTGCATGCAGAAAATAAAATATACCCTTATATAAACCTTTTGCAAGAGGAACTTCCCCTTATTCTTTCAGTAAATGATGAGAACATTACACCTTCATCTGAAGAACAATAATAACTGTTGTTTATATCTGTGCTTTTTGGATTGCTTTATTAAAAAGTGTATTTTGTAACATACATACCTTAAGCAGAGCTAACTACAGAGTGTAAATGACAGTGATATGCTGACATGAAATAGTACATCACCTAGCATTAAAATGTAATAATACAACATATTAACACTAGTGACAATGATCTGTCCACCATGTACTCACCTGAGCACCATGTTTTAATAGGATACTGGCACAAGCAGCATGACCCCCTAGGCAGGCTTCATGGAGAGGAGACACCTGGTCTGCTGTAACAAGATTAACATCACTCCCCTGGTGAAATAATGGAAAATATCATTACAACCAACTACCAAAACCCTGGAGGTTTCACAGTAAAGCATGGGCTGCATTCAAACACTGAACAAACCCAGCAGAGATCATATCAACCCAGTGGAGAGGTACCTGTTTGATGAGTTTTTTCAGAGTAAGCAGACGCCCATGGATAGAGGCATCGTGTAAAGGAGACCAGTCTGAAACAAAGTCTGTATAAAAAGAAAGACAGGAAAAAGGCTAAAAACTCCATGAACTGTTTCATTAGCATACTTTATTTCAACTGCATGACCTCAGTAAATGTCTCTTATTCTTCTTTATTACTTGAGCTGCCAAGGCTTCCTTGAAGCAGCTGCTGGGAGGGAGTGAGACAAGAGGACGGCTTCTCTCTGAGGGTGTTTTTAACTCATCCCATGTTGGTGCTGAGCAGCTGCGCTCCCCTTCAGAAGACAAGAGAGGGATTTGCAGAATATCACCTTGCTCTGACTGAGCTTGTCCCTCAGTTTAAATTATTTCCAGTGCCTTTGTTTTCACAACTTCATTACGTTTTACCAATTAGCTCAAAAGGACTGTATTTTGCAGAGTATGGCTGCTCAGTCATTTACCCCTGCTCAGAGCTGGGTTAGAGTCAACAATGCCTAACAAGACAAGGTACCAAAGTACAAGCAGGTAAATCGTGTTACCTGTTGATTTTGCCTTTCAGTTTTCAGTGTTTGGTGTTGGCCTGTGCAGCAGTGCATTTTAAGTAATAGCTGTATTCTCCACATTGTCCAAACCACAAAGTGAGGTACAGCACATATATATCATACAACTATTAATAGAAGGGGATCTTCAATATTACAGGTTTTATGGCTCAGGCACAGCTGACAGCAATAATCCCTCTGGGAGACATTTACCTGCTTCAACATTCATTGCCTCAAACCATAGTGTCCGGTCTACATCCATGTCCCAGGTTCCCCCTGGGAAGGAAAAGAAGTATTTCCAGAGGGCATGTCACTCAGCTTCTTTCTGAAACACATTCTGCAACTCCCTGGAGATGTCCCACTCTCCTTCCACTAACTACAGAGAAAACCCCAATGGCCGACTTGAACGAGTGGCTGAGATTTTCAGGGACTATCCTAGATCACATGCATGGAACAAGATGCTTAACAGTAAGAAGTCTGCCTTCAGCAACAAAAGCTAATAAACCACTATAATTCTTTAAAATCATTTTTAGAGATCAGCTGATGATGTCAGTGCTTACACAAGATCTGCAGATCTTGTCTCAGGTATGGACATGCATGGGAGAACTGAACCCCTCATGGCCAATGCCCTGACACTTCTGGCTATGCCACAGTGTGCTGGAACGGAGTGATAACCAACTGTGTCAGCCATCTCCCAGCCTGTTGAGCTATTGCTCTCTCACCTTCAAGCGTGCTCAGTAAGGGGCATCAAATTTAAACAAGATCTGGTATAGCAAGACTCACAATGGTTTTGTGATCGAAAAATTCTGGGATAGGTAAATCGTGACATGAAGATGGTGGTATCTGAAATGTGTTGTTTATCACACACAGCAGATCTTTGCCTGCATAAACTATGTTAGGTAGGAGGGTAATTTTTTGCTGGCATAGTGGCCACAAAAGGTCTGCTATAGATTTATAGTTATTCTCGCAAGACTCTTTTATCACTGTGAAATACATTTGTCTAAAGTCATTCATATAGGCAAAAGGATATTTCTGCTACTACCATACACTATTCTTGAGCCACTTGATGCCCGTCACAACACTTACCTGTATAGCACACTTTTGCGAATATGTACCTATTGCACCTTATTGTCTCTGAGCAATGGTTCACTGATAGACTAAACTAGGGTAAATTTTAGTGTTTCCCTTCTTGGACACCAAAAATGTGGGTCTCCATAACAAACAGCTAGTCAGATTGGTAGTAGTCCCACACACATCACAAGAGGGAACTCAACTGGTCCCTGTGGTAGCTCTTATTTTAATGAAGTAATTTAAAAAAATCTAGTAGAATAATCAAGGCTTCACCTTCTCTTGTGAGAATCTTCTAACAGTTGTCCAGCGTGCTTCTGACTCACAGGACAATCTCAGTGACATCCTGAAAATAACCTCAGGGTGGGTTTGAAGCCTGAAGAGGGGTGAGCTTGTGGAACAAGGCCCCCAGGAACAGAAGTCTCATAAGGGATGATTGGAAAGGCAGCTGATTCACAATGTTCACAATTCCTTCTCATTTCCCTGCCTCTGGTTATGATTCCTACCTAGTTAGGGGAAGGGAAAGGGAGAGGGCTTCTAGAAAATGCTAGGTAATTTGTTGGTTTACACTAGTTTTATATTTACTTGATCTAAGCTATCACTGGGCATCCCTTGGACTAGAAAGGAGGTTTATTTTGTGTCCACCAGAGACTAACCATGACTACAGACAGGACACAGATCCAGTGGCTGGAGCTTCTGTTACCCGGTCAGTATGTCCTGCTTATAGGTGCAATTAAAATGACTTTCAATCAGCTTTGAATTCTGAAGGAGAGATGTCTTGGAGAACAGGCTGGGGGGGATTATCAGCCCTGGGACTGTGCCTCCTCTGAGCGCAGGGTGCAGTCCCTCTCCTGCACTCTCCCCAGGGAGAAAGCTTGGTGCTTTCTCCTGCTCTTGGCATGTATTTGTTACAGCTGTGGCTTTGGGTCTTTTCCTTCAGATTGTAAATTCGTTGCCAGGGAACTGGGAAGGTGTTTGGTGACCTATTGACCATACCCTACAGACTAGGTGTTTGGTGGACACTTTGAAACCTGCCATCTATTTCACTGCTGCCTGTGACTTTGAGACACTGTCAGAGACTGTGCAGACTTGGTAGGTAAATCCACACTGCCAAGTAAAGAAATCCTGGAGGATAGTTCAGCATTGAGGTTTAAGCAGGTGAAGATGTGAAGGCAAATCAATCTGCACCATTTGGTCTCAAAGAAAGAAATGGTCCCAATCTCTTTTATTTAGAAGGATATAACTAGCAAGACAAGACTCCATGAGTCAAGTGATCTTTTCCAGTCTTGTATTACTTTCACTATGAAAGTCAAAGGGAAAAAAAAAGAGAAACTGAGAAGCAACTCAAACTTCACAGGCACAGAAAGATTCATCAACTCAGATGTGATTCATATTTGGGAGAAGCCTCAAAATTAGAAAGCCAGAATTAGAACCACAGTACAGCTTTATGGGTGGTACTGAGTACATGAATTGAACAGAGATAAAAACTCAGGAAATCTGGGTAATGTATGTCATTTAGGGTTTTGGTTTGGTTTGGTTTTTTTTTTGTGTTCTTTGTTATTAACGTCATTTGAGGTCTGCCTGCCTCCTTCTTTGTTCCATGGGCCATGTCCCACAACAAACGTAGTTACAGTAAGTTCACAAACATCCTTTGGCTTTAGCAAATGGACAACCATTTCCAGAAGCTGCAGTTCTGTTCTCTCAAGGAGAGTCAAACTACGCTACAATTATTAAATGACAGTATTATTAACTGAATAAAACAGCTTTGCTTTGAGTGATATATGTCAAATGATGCTTATCTGACCATGCTGTCGTTCTTGCTGATCCTGCCTGAGTTACTACTGGTTGTTTTTCCAGGCTCTGTAAAAAGCTTTAGATTTTCCCACTAAGAAACCAATGCCATTGCCCAACCTGCATGAGTTGCAAGGGAAGCATGTTTATAATAATTCTAAAAATCTAGATTGAGGAACAAGTTTTCTGAGCTACAGCTTGTTCTTTTTTTGGCCACACAAACACAGGCACAGTTTTGTGAAAACTACCAAGCTGTTATATCATCATGTCAGCATTCTTTCTGACAAAGAGGAAGATGCACGTTTAAGCCATCACATTCATGTGCAGTATTTATTCATTCAGTGCTTGCTTGAGAAAAAGCAGATTTCTACTGAGGCTCTAAGAAGAGCCAGACCATACCATAGTCAACTATGGACTGGCCACTAGCTTGCAATTTTGCCAAGTCTTAACAACAAATTAAAAGATTGACTACATAAGCATCAAAAATAAATGTTGGTAGAAAATAAAAAGAGGTGTGTGTCAACATGTTGTAATCCAGCTGGAAATTCTGTACTGAGGGGAACCAAAGCTTTTATCCTAAATGGAAGTAGATACCTAAGGTAGCTTCACACCAGCCTTGGATGCATTGGGAAGAGGGGTTTAAGGGCCTCTCTGTTGACTAACTGCCATGGCGTACTTCCAAATCTCTTACCATGAACGGCATGGCCCCAAGCTGCCATCTCTCCTGCCCTGTCTCCATCTGCAGCAAACGCCTTCACCCTGAAGCAATGACAGGGAGGCAACCTCCCTGCAGGGGAAGGCAAATTTGCCCGTTCCTGCACCCAGGACATTACCCTCAGGCAAACCACAGATTCTATTTCCAGCCTGCTCCAGGCTGGAATTCGTGTTTCTCACCTGGAGGAGAAGGGAGGTTGCAGTAGATGGTAGGGTCTCACTTCCCCCTTCTGCACAGCACAGGAGGCACACCATCAGCAATATAAATGATCAGTATTTATACCATACACAGGCTTTTGTTTAAAGCCTAAGCAAATGCCAGTGCTAACCGGCCATGGACTTTTAAAATCCTAAAATAGTGATGCTCGGGAAAGCCCTCAAAGCACTGCCAGCCAGAGCCGCCTGTGAGGGAGCAAGGCCGGTGTATGTGGGTGGTACAGCTGTGTTCACTGTATGCACTACCACAGGAACAAGGATTTCTGCCAAAAATATGTACAACTGCTCTTTCACAGGGGAACGAGACTGTTTATCCAAATTTGAATTTTACCCACACTTTAGTCCACAGGCAAGATGAGGCAGGCCTCAAGAGCTTCGTCATCTAGACATCCAAAACCTCCTTGCTTTCAGTGGCATTGGGTTACCTAGCCCCCTTTTTACCACTGAGAATCCCAGTCAGCCCAGAGATTACTTTAAGCCTCTGGTCATGTTTGCTTGCACTGACATCACTTGGGCACGTGAGTGTTGGAAGGGTGGCATATACAGAGGAAGCCTTATAGCAATAACCACACAAAGATGCAAACCCTGACTGCTCCCTGAGGACAACAGAGCTTTCACAAGACCTTTCTAGAAGAGCGCTCGTCTTTGTGGTGATGGCTGAAAGTACATTTTCCAGCCTCTGACCACATGGAGGGTGTTGCACACTCCATGCCTGTCCCCAGGCTGGTTTCCTTCCACATTGGTCACACACTGTGCAGCTTGCAAGGGGCTTTGAAATGCTTTTGGCAGAGGTATGCTCTTGCATACATATTTGCATACACATATGCCTATGGCATTATAGGTAACAGTATTACAAATGATATTTTTCATATCCTAACGCTTTCCCCTGAAGTTTGTGATATATGTAGCCTGAGTCAAATACATTTCTGCTGTAAGTCACCAGCAGAGCTCATTGACTCTCCTAAGGAGCAGGCAGACACAAGAGGAATGGACTGAACTGATTTTCAAAGGACCAAATGATCTGTGTAAAGCAGTGCAGTGTGTGGGCTCCCCTCTTTCCAGCCTCCATTTTGCTGGAGCTCATCTCCAGTGTGGACCTGGTTTGATTCATACTGTTAATAAATCACTATCCCTTCCCTCCCAGGCCAGCCTCAGGATGCACATAAGCGACACGCATGAGGAGAGGCAGACAACACAGCAGGTATACAGATCATCTTTGCACTGTGGTTTTAGGGCCTTAATTTTCTATTTGGTATGAATGGAAGCATCCTGAACAGCCCAGAAAGGGAGTGAGGACAGTGTAAAGTCATATTACCTTAATTTATCTCATTCATTCTGCACTTGCCATGAGCTGAAGGAGTAGCTTTTCAGAAAGTAGAGCTACAGGGAACATGTCCAGCTAAACTGCCATGTGAAGTTAAATTACTTGTCTTTTGTCGCCATGTCGTATTTTCAATGGCTCTGGGCCTGAAAACAGAGCAATGATCAGAGGCTATTTCTCTGAATAACTGCCCACTGGTGACCACAGCAGCATTGGTCACAACTGACCACAATGCCCTTGCCTAAGCAACAGACTGGGCAACAACAATGCACAGCCTGGGCAACAGCACCTGGGTCTGCTCATCTGAAAGAAAAAAGAAAAGGAAAAGGAAAAAGGAAAAAGGAAACAAAACAAAACAAAACAAAAAAAAAAAAAAAAAAAAAAAAAGAAAAGGGGAAGAAGAAAGGAAAGGAGGAAAAGAAGGAGGAAGGGAATGGAAAAAAAAAGAAAAAGAAAAGAGGAACTGAGCCAGTGCTGAGCTTCCAGCTGGCACTAATCTAAGTCAAACATGCCACATTGCAGCTTCTTTTTCAGCGTGCTGTGCTTCAAGTGCTTCATTTGTTTCTGCTTGTACAAAGTGAGGTACAGAATCAGACACACTTTTCTGTGATGAACCAAAAAAACAACAAAAAATTCAGTATCCAATAGGAATAGCCCATTTAAATCCCTTCTGAAGTGCGAGACCATGGGGATGTTTTGTGGGACTGCCTGCGAACCTGCCCTGGAAGCAGGACATCAAGAACAGCACGCCACCAAAGCCTGACCCTGCCCTTTGCCACTGCTGGCAGAGGTGAAGGCTCGTGGCTAAGCAGAAGCATTACTTACCTCTCATCTGTGGGTTTGATGGAGATGTTGCAGACGCCTGGCCTCCAGCTCCTTGCAATTTGCTGGAGTTTTGATTTGTTCCCTCATCATCCATCTCAGCCTCGTCTGTCCGATTTCTGTTTTTTCACTTCGCGGTTGTTCTCGAGAGTTCAAATTCCATCATTCCCGGCAAGCCCCCAGCAGTGGAAGTGATCTATTAAGCAAACTCTGCACGGACAAGTCAAACAGACCTTGCAGCAGACCGGGACGTGGTGCTGGCAGCACTTCGTGCAGAAACTCGAGTACCTGGGTTGAGATTTAACGAAACAGCTCCCTGGCTGCTCTGGTAGGCTGCCAGCGATCCGGCGAAGCGAGAGATGTGCCTGATGTCACATCCTCTCCAACGCAGCGCCCAATTGGGGAGCCCGCCGTCCGTTTTTATCAGGAAGGAAATTCTGAGTTTGCCAAAAAAACAAGACAGAAAGAGCCAGTTCAACTAGTTGAGCGAACTCTGCCTGCAGGGGATTTGCAAGGAAAACCCGCAGATATATGAGCGCACGCGGATCTGCACCACTCCTGAGCAAGTTGTTTGCAGAGGACTTTGCCGCGCGCCTCCCTGGGCGGTGTGCGCTGTGCAAAAATTACCCCTCTTATCTGCCAAGCCCTGACGGTATGCAAGAAACGGAGAGCTGGACGCCTGCTGTGCAGCAGTGATCACCACATACCCTATGGATATTGAAACCACATGTCTGGGGAGCTGCCGTCCCCACTGGAGGCCCAGCGTTGTCTGCATGGCGTGGAAATCGCAGCGCTGCGCGGGCTCGTTTCCTTCACACACACACACACACACACACCCCCTCCCCGGCTCAATTGATTTCACTGACTCGCAGTCACACCAGGAGTTTTGTATCTGAGCACTGCCCTTTTATTTCTAAGCAATTTCTCGGTCTAAAACAAACATACCAGCGAACAAATGTCAATGTTTTTTCAGGAGGACCTCTGCCTCATTTCTCTGGGTCTGTTTGTAAAAATTCTGTTCTCACAGATCATCTCTATTTGCACTTTTTTTTTCCCAAATTAGTATAATTTACAAGTGCAAAATCTTGTGTATGTCCCTGAATATTTGCCCATTTGTGTACAGGTGCAAGTAGGCAGAACTTCCATGCAAAAGTCTAACCCGTGTAAATAAAAATTAAGTAGGATTTTTTTTTTTTTTAATTTATCTACTAAAGCAGAATTTGCATTTGTGTATTTGGAGATGCCAAGTTGCTAAATCCTGGGCTAATTCTAATCCTAACTCATCTGAGCCTAGGTGACTTGGTTTCATTTTTATTCCTATCTGTAACACATGCAAGAGATATGGAATCATAGTTAGGATTTCTTTGTCCATATCTTCAAAAATAATCAGTTATGTTAAAAGATACAAACAGCAGCTGAACGTCATTCACAAACCCGGCCAGCAGGGAATCTGTGAAGGCAACCTGGGCACTCGTTGATACACAACTGCTGATGAAATACAAATGAGGACAGGGTCAGCCCCTTCCAGGGCTCTCCCTGCCGAATGCCTCCTGGCCCCTAGTTTTGCCCCTGCATCCTGGATGCAAGTTGACACTTGAGTATGACTGAAAATGACATTTGTGTCTTTAGCCATTGAAACTTCCACATTAAAAATGTTGTGGGAAAAAAATGTGTAAATAGAGAAATTGATATAAATAAATATTGGGTTTGATGATTAACACATAAAATGAGGAATGGAAAAACGTTTTTTCCCCATTAATATTGCTTAAGTGCAGTGGCTAGGTTTCTGCATATTATGTATAATCATATCTTTTGCAGTATTAAACATGTCAGCAATTCCACCACTAAAAGCAATTGGCATATGCATCCAAAGATGCAATGATACAGGCTATAAGCAAAAAAGCATTAACTAAGAGCTTTAAATTCAACCATACTAAGAAGAAGCCTACAAGACAGAAATCCCTTAGTCCCTACTCACCCACAGACAGGAAGACTTTGGCAATTTTATGCTTTGACCAAGACACCTGCTGACTGTTAGGGGAGTTGTCTGAATAGTCTGTTACTTGTTACGCATATTTTGGTCATTTTGTGTTGCATAAAACTCTGCCTTGACACATGACCTGTAGTCTGGTCTTCCCGGAGGCTGATAAGGTCACACAGAGCACCTAACGGGGCCAATGAGTCTGCGGCCTTCCCCATGGGGGCAGACATCCTTGTCCTCCACCACTCTTTCTGAAGGGGGGCCCTCTGAGATCCCCACAGCAGGTTGGTAGCCCTCAGACATACTTTATCCTGGTCTACATGTATTTGTATCTCATGGAGTAAATAGACACAGGGTTCACAAAAGGAGTTTCGGGTTTGATCACGCTTATCTTCTGCCAGCAGCAAAGAGGCAGAGACTGGGGCAAAGCCACAACAAGTGCAGGATCCAGTTGCCATATCCATTCTGCAGAACTGGGGCTTCTTTCAGGGCTATGGGGCCACACTCTGTCATTTCACTCTTTGGGCATGATTTCTCTTTCGGATCATGGTATATTCCCAAATAACTAGACACCTGTCCCCTGGGCTGGTCCTGAAGCCTTTGCTTAGTCAGAGTATCTTCAGCTCCTGGTATGATCCCCCCGTCTTTGTTCCAACCTGGAAAAGTCTTACATTATGAAACTCTATCTGTCTGCTGACATACTGGGGAAAAACAACCCTTACCTGGAATGTAGCCGTCCCATTTTTTGGTGCAAAAAGTATTTCTTCAGGTATTAATAGTCTCAGTAACAATTCTACCCAAAATTAGGTGCTCATCTGGCTCTGGATCTTTCTGGTAAGAGTATGAGGTAAGAGGACAGCACAGCTAATTACTTCAAATCTATAAAAGGTTCATGGCAGATGGGAGGGTGATAAAAGGGCTCAATGGATGGAGGGATCTAATTAAGGGGCTCCTTTGTTCTAGTGCTTCTCTTCCCCAGTTGCACTGGGGTTAAATGTTCACTGCTCATCTAGCACATTGCACTTCAATAAGCTCTTCCACCCACACTCATGGGCTGCTTTCCAGACCTTGTTGGAGCTTACCTTTAGAAATTTCCCTCACATGACATATCTTTCCACATTTCTGCCTGTGAGGGGAACAGCCAGCATGCTCCAGCTGTTCTCACAACCACGGTCTCCCAGGACTTCTCCATGGGGAAAGTTACCAGCACTTTGTCACTACTGCAAAATGTAATTTGTGGGCTTGCACAAAAATTAGCCCATGATCCCTCAAATGCTTGTCCTGAACTGGGGTTTCTGCTGGCTTCCAAAAATGGCCTGCAGAAAGCTATGCTGCCAGCTCAACTGCTTGGGCAAAAAGGCCTAGAGAGAAAAATATCCCTGGACCTGTCATCTGGTTCTTTTCCCTCCAGCATCCTGCTGGCATAGCAGATACTCTCATTTTCTTTTGGCAAAGATTATTCACAAATTACTAAAGTAGGTGAAATTACTAGACTCTCCTGAACAATATACTTGTCTCCCTGCCTGGCTCCTGGAAGATGGCATGCGGTGCTGTGGAGAAGAGGGTTTGTAGAACAGCCTAAGTCAAGCTCATAGGATCTGAACTGTTCCCAATGTTATCTTCAGTCCTAAGAAATCCAGACTTCTGATATCAGACAGATTAGTTGCTCAGATCATCAGCTATCCATATTTTCTGTCTTGAAAATGCAAAGTTGGGACTGCAATAAGCAGCCATCTACAGCAGTAGCGTGCCTTGGTAGTTGTTTCCTTTGCTGTCCCCAAGCACAGCTTGGCTTTTGTTTTGCATGAGGCTGGAAATCCTCTGAACCAGCTAACGGATGCTGATTCATAATGCTGATATTGTAGAAAAAAGAGTTTCCCTTCCTAAAGGATTATGATCTGAGCACAGTGACAAGTATATAAGCTTGTTTTAATTACCATCCATCCAGTTTGGCCACTTATCTGAATAACTGATGTTGTGGCAGAAGGGAAACCACCTTTGGAAACCGACATACAGAATGCAGAGCTTACTTGAAGTTGAAGCATAAGGACCAAAGCATGTGCCAGGACCTCCTGGCCCTCCCTTTCCCCCCACTGTGGGGACATCCCTGGTGCACGGAAGGCTCCAGCCAACCTCTCCCAGGGCTGCACCTAACCTGGCATGTGGGCCACTCCACATCATGTCCAGGGATCATCCCCCATGTCCCAGACCGGGAATGACAGAGCCGCCCCGGGACCCCAACTGCCCTTTGGCTGGTGGTGGGGAGGGAAAGGTCTGCACCCAGCTCTCACACTGGCTGGGGTGCAGGGAGGTGGTGGGGTCCAGACCCTCATGCTCCTTCATCCTCCCAGCCTGCACACCCCCTCAAACTGCTTGGAGGGGACAGTTCTCCACGCAGCCGCCCTCTTCAGAGCAGACCTGGAAGCTGGCTGCAGCTGCAGACCACAAAACAAGAGCTCTTTAAATCATTCTGCATCTTGAAAAGGTGAGTGGGTTGCACCCAGATATTATTTTCTCATCATCTCTCCTTGCGGCAGTGTTGGGGCAGGCATCTGAAGATCTGGGGCAACCCCCTCACTCAGCTTACAATTTCTTCTGATGACAAAGTTTGCTGGAGATTTATACTGACAAAGAGAATTATCTGTTAAAATGTCCCAAGGATGAGCCCTTTTAGTTGCTATGCCTGAGACACATCCAGAAAAAAAAAAAAAAAAAAAAAAGAAAAAAAATCCATAACAAGTGATTTCATGGTCAGTGGCAAAAATGTATTTCTTCACAAGCTGCTGCACACATGAAAAGCTCAGGTATTTCTCATCCATTTACAATAGGCGAGTAGCAGACAGGGAAATTTTCTGCACAGAGTGAGTCATTTCAGCTCAAAGACTTTAATAAATGTCAAACGAGCTGCCGTCACCCCATACACCCATCAGAGCAGCTGTGGTGCCTTGCTCCCGTGGCTGCCCGCAGCGGGTGGGAGGGGAGTGGTTTGGGGGCAAAACTGGAAAGCACTTCAAGCAAAAAGGCAGTGTCAGGCTGAGGGCATTCTCTACATCAACAGCTTGTGGGAACCTGCTTGTGGAAACAAGCTGGCGCTACTTGTTGGCCTCGTTTTAGAGGAACGTTTTCACTGAAGTCTTGGAAAACCCCGACCCAAAAAATCTGTTCCTCAGTCACTGTAGTTACTCAGGATGACATGTTTCTTATATATGCCTTGTTGTAAATCTGTAGTGACACTGAAAGCGAGTAGCAAAATAAATTATCCCACTCATTAATTAGGAACCATTCTGGGATATTTGGGGATGAGTGGTCTTCGACAGGTACTCAGTGATGAAAGGAACAAAGCTCCTGGGACAAAGCCAAAGTATCTTTATATACATCTCAGGCTACAGGCAGCAGGAACGCACTTTCTGAAACAGTTAAAATCAAGCATTTCTCTGCAGGATAATGAGATACAAATAATAAGCAAAGGATGTGCCTCTGGGCCAGTGTCCTTAAAAATATTTCAGCTTACATTGTGATGGAGACAGCATGAAAAAGAAGGAGTAGTGTTTACACAGAGTATGAGGATAATCTTAAAGCAGGTAGCAATTCATACAGGTCCAACTGAAAAGTCGACATATTCTTTGAAACATATCTGG